AAACGTCAGCCTGCCACAAGCAGGTCTAACCCACCTGGGAAGGAGTCTAGGGTACAAGGTGTGTACCAACTGGAGATGAATATCCAGTTTGCTAACTTTTCACATGGAGAATCATTGAGCCAATAGCATTTTGTTGGATGGTCCGTTCAGTTTTTGTCATGCTATTTATGATCTAAATAAGTTTTTTCTTTTCTTCCCCTTTGAAGTGTTTTGTTATGTAGTCCAGGCTGGCTTCAACCGCTCAATCTCCTACCCAAGCCTTCCAAGTGCTGGGACCACCACACCCATCTTCCAGTCAAGATTCTGCTGTATGTATGTCTGTTCTTGGCTCTGCCTGCAGCCACACTGTTTTCTCTGTATCTGTGGTCAAGCCAGATAGTCTTTAATTATCTCCAACTTTGTAATTGCAATGTCACTTGCCTCTCCTCTCTTGACAAGAGCCCGGGTTATTTAGGACTTTTGTTCTACTGGTTATTTTGAATATTTATGTGTTCATGGGTATGTACATTCATGTCTGAGTGCAAGTGGAGGTCAGGGGTCAACCTCAGGTGTCTTTCTTCAGGGAACACCTTGTATTTTGAGACAGGGTCTCTCACTCGTTCACTGGTGGCTAGCCAGTGAGGCTCAGAGATCCATTTCCCTAATGATGGGAAAATATTTTTAAATCAAGGAAAATTGCCGCCTTCTCTAGTTTTCTGAGTAATTGGGAGCCAATACCAGGTTTTGCTGAATGCTTTTACGAGGGTCATATGCATTTTCTTCACTAAACTTTAGATGAGATGTGTTCACTTCTTTTTTCCAGACAGGATTGGCTGTCCTGGAACTCACTCTGTAGACCAGGCTGGTCTTGAACTCACAGAGATCTATCTGCCTCTGCCTCCTGAGTGCTGGAATAAAAGGTGTGCACCATCAATGGCTGGCCAGATGTAAATTTAACAATGAACCTGGAATCCTTGGGATTAACCCAACTTTGTCACGACTATCTTTTTACAAAATGCCATGAGCAGGTTGGTGCCAAAGTGTGCTGTTGCTCTTTGTAAAGGCCCAGGATTTGGTTCTCAGCACCCAAGTCAAACAGTTCACGACCACCTGCAACTTGAGCTCCAGGGGAATATGACAACCTCCTGACTTATGCAGGTATAAGCAGGCATACACACACACACACACACACACACACACACACACACAAAATACTTTTTTTTAATGTCATGAATGCCAGGCATGGTAGATCAGTCTTGTAACCCTACCATTCAGGAGACAGAAGCAGGTGGCTGTAAGTTTGAAACCAGCCTGGTCTACATAAATAGTTCAGGCCAGTCTGAGTTACAGAGAGATCCCATTTAAAAAGAAATCAAAATGGACCTTCATAGAGCTAGAAATAACTTCAGTTTGCTCCAAGTCCATGAGTGAGGTCTGCCTGCAGCTTTTTTCATTACCTTCATATCAAGATATACTAACCCAAAAGATGAGCATGCAGAGGATGGTATTGCTCCCTACCCTCTGGTAAAATGTATATGCTTGGAGTGATCTGGTCCTTACATGGCTAGTAAAACATGATTAAAACCTTCAAGAATGCTTGTATGTGCAAGTATTAGCAGTTTTGGTGATCCTTACAATTTGCCATCTTATTAACATTTCCATGATCATACAATTAAGATGAGCTGCATTTTTCTCATTTTTTTTTTTTGGTAAGAGAAATGTAAAATCTAGTGACTTAGCAGGTTTTATTTTTCTTGAACATTAGAGATAGGTTGTCCAGAAATGCCTAACCAAGGTAGATCTGGTATGTCCAGGCCGAGCTCTGATTTGGAAGGAACACGACCATCCATAGGGCCATCTGCAAGTGAGACCTTCGAAAAACTTAAATTCCTACCCTAGTACTCAAAACAGGTGCAGCAGTAATCTTCCCCATTGAGATGGACTGATCCCTGGGTTCAACAGCATGGGCCTGTTAGATCTGATGTAGCTATTGCTGCCACCTAGTGGCCATTCTCCATTAATGGTGGCTGAAGCTAAGTGCCAAGCATGGTACCATTTCTTGAGACCAGGAAACCGTTGAGAAGCTGGCTTTATACAGTGTCTTGCATTTGAGAAGGTTCAGGAACGTGTTCTAACAGAATCAGACCTGGATTTCATGTGTTTGGTTTTTCTGCTTGTCTCACCAGCACCACCATCTGAGAACTAAGACTGGTCTGCATGTCAAAGGGGGGGGGGTGGCAGGGGAGGAGACACTTTACAGAGAAGCCTGGGAGTTGGGCCTGTGACCTCAGAACTCCTTTATCATGCAATGTAGCACCTAAGCTGGCCTTAGTGGTCATTATAATGGTCTAATGAAGGTATACCTGAAGCTTTGGCCCACAAGTAACACTCAACTATATGAGACAGCAAGGTAGCACACACACCAACGATGAAAGACTGTGTGGTTCTGAATGCCCGGTGACAGACAGCAACACATGGTCTACGGGGCTGAGTCTGTGAATCACTCTCTGGGGCTTGCAACTTTTGGGCTCCGCAAACTTAGAGGCCCAAATCTTCAAAGACAGGGGCACTCCTGCAAACGGCTTATTTGGATTATAAGATGAATTTGCCACATTGGCTCATGTCTAAGGAGGCAAGATGAGTCACTGTTTTTGTCAACGGAGTTGACTGTCATTCACAGAAAGATGAGTTTGTTTCCTAAGGACAACAGGTAGGGATATGATGGTGTCTCAAAGATCCACTTCTTCTCTTGGTCAATTTGGTATAACTGGACAGATACAGAGGACCCACAGGGAATAGTGACCAGATACCAAGTCCCTTCAAAGATGAAAGTTTGGATTTCATTCTGTAATTTCCCTGCAGGAAGTCACACACTGCCCGATGGGCAGGAAGATGTACTGCACTGACCCATTTCAAAGAACTCTAAGCAGTTACAGCTCTTGTTCACCACCCTTCAGGTTTTCTCTACATAGCCCTGGCTGTCCTGGAATTCATTCTCTAGAACAGGCTGGCCTTGAACTCACAGACATTCACCTGCCTCTGCCTCCCCCAGCTGGGAACTGCTACTTAAAAGTGGCTGTTGATGTTACAGTTGTTTTCCACTTTTTATTTGACTGCTTTATCACCTTTATTCCCTTCCTTTTACTTAGGAATTTGATCTTTTTCTAGCTTAAGGTAGCAGCTTACATCATTGAGTCTGTCTCTCCCTTGTTATAACAATTTAAGCTATTCTCTACTCTTTGGGGCATATTTTTTTTCTGAAAATTGATGTTTTTTACTATTGCTTACTTCCAACATTGTTTTCTAACAGAGCTCATAATTTCTTCCTTGATGTGTTATAGTACATCGTTTAATTTCAAGTATTGGGGAGGCGATTCCAGTTATCTTGATATACCTTTCTAAAGGGATTATTTACTTTTTCTTTGTATCAATTAAGATGGTGTTGATATATTCAACCTTTACAATTTCTCCTTTTGTTTTTATTCCTTTTGGATGTTTTGTTGTGTATGTATGTTTGGTTGCTTGTATGTGTACTACATGTGTATGCTGTCTGTGGAAGCATGCAGGGGGGAGCTGGGACTTCTAGAACTGGAGTCATACACTGCTGTAAAACACCTAGAGGGTGCTGGGAATTGAACTCGTCCTCTACACAAGGGCAGCCAGTGCTTGTTAACTGCTGAGCTGTCTCTCCAGGTTGATAAATTTATTCTTAAGATATATTTATATCTTGACACTCACCAGATAAGGTCCCATCCTAATTCACATGACCCAGACTGAGTTCTATGCCCCACTGGATAACACATACCTGGTCACAAGGGGAGTTGGATCCCAGGGGACAAGGCTCTACCTTGACCTGTAAATCAGCAGTCACCTAAACTGCAGAAGTCTGCATAGGTGCCACTCTGCAAAATTCCTGCTAACAAATGAGTGCCGACAGGAATAGGGTTATTGTCCTGTGGTTTTACTTATTCTCTCTCCTCTTTGTTGTGTGCACTCAAATAAATGTGATTTTTTTAAAGAGAGAAACTATTGGGCATGTGCAAACTTATGTCAACTAAATACAACCACACTGGATGATGAATAACTGAAACAAAGAAGGAAATTAAGAAAGAGTGAGTATGAAGACACAGCATGCCCAAACCCATCAAAAATACTGAAGGTGGTTCTGAGAGGGCAGTTTACAGCTATTGGTTTCCACAGAAAGAAATTAGAGACGCCTTGAAAACACAAAAATAAGCCAAACCCCAAATGAAAACAACAATATCAGGGAAGAAATTAATGAAATAGAAACAATAGAATGAAACAAAAAGCTGGTTATTTGAACAGCTAAATGGAGTTGTTAAGCTCCTAGCCAGAACAAAAGAAACAGGAATTACAAAAAAAGAGATGAAAAGGAAGTCATTACAAGAGATACTGATGAAATTTATAACATCATTAGGTCTTAAAAACTTACATTCTGCTGGGCGGTGGTAGTGGCCATGCCTTTAATCCCAGCACTTGGGAAGCGGAGGCAGAGGCAGGCGGATCTCTTGAGTTTGAGGTCAGCCTGGTCTTCAAAAAGAGTTCCAGGATAGCCTCCAAACCTACAGAGAAACTCTGTCTCGAAAAAAACAAAAACAAAAAAACCCCAAACAAACAAATAAAAAAAACTTATATTCCACTGAACTGGAAATGCTGTGAGAAATGGATGAATTTATAGATGTGTATGACCTACAAAAATAACATGAAGATGAGCAATTATGGTAGTAGTAACTTAAGGTCCAGATGGATTCACAGGTGAATTTTATCAGACCTTACAAGCATTAAAACCAGTGCTTCTTCAAATATTCCATGAGATAGAAAAGGAAGAAACATTACCAAATTCTAAAGTGCTACTATTAACTTGATACCAAACCTGAACAAAGATGTGACAACAAAAGAAAATTTCAGATCAATTTCCCTGATGAACATAGATGCAAACATTCTCAGCCAACTATCAGCAAACAGAATTCAAGAATACATTTAGATTAGAAAAGACCACATGCAATTATCAAGCTGGGTTTATTTAGTCCAGATATGCAGAGATGGCTCAATATACATATATCGATACGTGTTATCCCCTTCATGTTAAAAGTCCTAAAGACACTCAATAGAAAGAATACATCTCACCATCATCAAGGCTACACAACAAACCTGTATTTTTGTTAATATGATTTCAAAGGTGTCCATTTTCTAGTCTCTTATTCAATTGCACTAGAGGTCTTAACTTAAAACCTAGCAGCCTTTCTACACACCTGTAAGAAACATACTTAAGGAGGCAATAAAGAAAACAATTGCATCCACAACAGCACCTTGCGAAAAAATTTAACCAAGAAGATGTGCATAATGAAAATGCCTTGAGTTTTACAAGTTGCCTGCCATAGCTCTTGACCCTTAGTAAGACATGAGCACTTCCACCCTTAACATGAGACATGAACTAAATCATATCAGTATCTACTATTATTTTGTCAGTGTGTCTTCAGTGCCAAGAATACCACTAGCAGCACAAACTGTTCAACTTTATACACCAGCTACAAGCCCAAAGATCAATTTGACCTGGCCTCCGTGCCTGTGAAAAAGCGTGTTGTGCTTGCTGCTGATGGGAACTCAGGGAAAACATGACACTAGGAGCACAATTCAGTTAAAACAAGAAGTATTATTTAGTGTGTGTGCTGGAGCAAGAGTGCCACAGTGTGTGAGGAGAAGTCAGAGGACAACTTGCAGGGATTTTTTTTTTTCTTTTGCTTCCCATCATGCGACTCTCAAGGACCTAAGTAAGCCAGGAAGTCAGGCTGGGCAGCAAGTACCTTCACCTGCTCAGCCATCCTGTCTGCCTTTATCACCTATCTACTCTATCCACAAATATGCATGGGCTCACCTGGTTATTCTATGGGCCCTTTGGTTTGGAAAATACTAACTTTCCTGAAATCTACAATTATAACAAAAAGTTAATGCAAAAATGTTACAACCTAGACAGAGTGCATCAATCTAATATCTAATCAGATTCTAATTGTTCAATGCTCTATAAATTGGATGTTTTTATATGTGAAAAGCACTAGACTCAAATATCAACATACTTATCACACCACAAAAAAGTTATTTTTTTAACCAAGCCATGAAGGAGTTACATTACCTGACCTTTTGATATCCATAGATACTATCAGATCTAATGGATAGAGAGTTCACTGTATGAATAAATGAGTCTAATGCCTAACTCTACATATAGTACAATGATTTTATCTTTACCATAACAAAATATTAAGATATATACTTTAAAAACCACATTTTCAAAAGCACTTTTAATTTGTTTGATTTTAATTCAAGTACAAGTCAGCTAGTTAACATAAATACAGAAAAAATGCACATAATCTGCAGCCATGTACAAAAATGCAATAGCAACACTCATGGATGGGCAAAACTCATCAGCTCTTTTAAAAGCTGACTAAACTATGAGTGATTGGTATAATTTAGTTCACATCCACTGGGGTACATTCAGAAAGTTTAACATAACTGAGTAGAACTAGGCTTTTTAGTTTCTAAAATGGGTAGCATAGAAATCAAGGTACAGTTAAGGAGAAACAAAGTTATGGTAGAGAAGGTATGCAAGGGGCAGAAAGCACACTTTATTATATATGGTAAATTCTGTCCTATTTAAATCAGACATAGTTAGATTCTTCGGAATGTTAAAAGTCATGATCAGTGAGGAGAAATGAGTTATGTCCCTATAACACTAGCAGTTTGGACAGAGAGCATGTAAACAGAGAGGTATGAAGAAAGTCCTTAGAGAAAGGGGGCATTGATTCCTCCACCTAAGTTCTTCATATTGAAATCACTATTTTGTGGTGATTTTAAAAAGACACTTTAGTAAATGAACATTTATTCTTTTGAACACCCCAAACTGTGCTCATCCTAACAAGGTTATCACACAGCAGACATCCAGGTTTAGGAGACAAAAGGCTGGGTGGGCTACGCGACCTAACAATGCTGTCATAGCTTCAGAATTACAAGCCAGCTTGAGACCCCTCTAGTCAATCAGGCTGGTTCTAGAGTTGCATATTGAGATTTGGGAAAGGGTGAGCATGGAGAGGGCTGGGGTAGGGAGGTGTCTGTAATGCCAGCACTTAGAAGGCAGAGGCAGGAGAATCTGGAGTTCAAGGTCATTTTGAGCAACAAGAGACACTAACCATAACACAAAACAAAACACAAAGACAGAAATTTGGTAGTAGATATTCCCTGGAAATTTAAAGCACTGTATGGTATCCCATTACAGCTCAGCAATTCACCAACTAGAATATCTTAATTTCAAGCCTTTGAGACACAGCGGCAGAGTCCCTGCTGTGTGAGGTTGGCTTCCAGTAGCTATTGCTTCAGCCTGACTGAACAACTTCAATTTTCTGAAAAGACCACAACAAAAGTATACAACAAGGTCCACACAGCTCTCTAAGACATTTAAAACAATTATTAGATTGAAAACAGTTTTTAAAAACCCAATGTTCAGAGTATACACAGCTTTTTAGACATTACAATTAAGATAATCTTCAATGAAATACTTCAGAGACAAATTATATATAACACATATATGATTTTCTTTTTTGGAATTATCTGTCAATAAAGTAAACTATGGCAGACTGTACTTGGGAAAAACAAAAACAGATTCCATTGCTCCTTTCCAACCCTGCTTTCAGAGTCAATATTAAGACTTTAAACCCTTTTCCTGCAGAACACATACAGACACTATAAAAGCTGAGTACAACACACTGAGGTTAATGTTAAATTTTACTAGCAAAATAAAGAATAATACATGTTCATCCTTGAAGGACACTTATTATGGATTTGCTACAACTACACAAGCTGTTCCTTAGATGCTGGTTTTCTTGTCATTCTTCATCATTTGAGAGCTGTGTAACACAGGAGAACATGTCCTACATTCAACACAACTAAGAGTATGGATCTTCACAGAGCAAGTGGCACTGTATTAGGCAGTATCAATGGCACCTGAAGAGGCAAACACTATAGCCTGAGACCTTCTCTACAGATTGAAGATAAACCCTTAGGTGAGGATTTATTTTTGGTATGTTCCATGCAATGCAATAAATGCCAAAGCTGCAATTCCAAAGGTAACAAACTGAACTTGCCTTTGGTCTCCAAAGAGATTGGAATATTTTAATTCCAATTGAGCACCTCAAGAACATCCAGTTATTGATTACAAGGAAGGTGAGAAATTTAAGAGGGCATTAAGCTTCACTTGGTGACAGCAGAGAAAGCTTCCAATGGCATGTAGCCTTTTCAAAGTATTGTGACATTACACAGTACACAGCACACTTAAAATACTGTAAGATCTCCAAACATCTAAAAATCCAGAATAATGTTATGAATACTGCTTCTGCCTAATACATAACAATGTTAAAAACAAAACAAAAAAACCATGAGTTCTCTCCTAAGTCTATCCCCTTAAAAGGCCACAAAGTGCATTCACATAGCCATTCTGAAGAGAAAGCCCATTGCACAAAATGTAAGGTTAGGGTACACTGATGAGTACCACAGTGGAGTTTAACTGTAGAAGTTTTATATACCAGTATAGCAACATCCATTGGAAAACCTATAGTATTACAGCAAACACCTTTATAATGGCCATATATAATACAACTAAAGTATTATTAAAAGGTGTCTCTGACTCAATAGCAAAATTTAAAAACTATATCCTGTTAACACACAGAACTAAAATTAGCCTGACTTTATGATAAAGCATTCAGGATCTAGGACAGAATAAAATTTGTCCAATGCAGCACACTCATTGACAGACTCTTTGCCAACTAAAACTTGCTGTATCACACAGCTGAGGACCTCTTTTTGTAACGTTCATGTTGTCCTAAATATTTGTATCACTTCAAGAGACCTATAAAGGGCAAAAGTGAAAAATTACCATTTTCTCTACCAACCAAGAATAATCTATACTGACAAGGAAGTAATTTAAAGGCTAAAATTCTTAATGTGGAAAATAAGTAAAATAGACTCAAATGTTAACTTTTCTCCTTTTAAAGTAAATAACATGTGGGTACGAGAATGTGATAACACATTACAGATCTATCCATGCGTTGTGCAATTGGAGAAACCATGGTGATATATTCTAAGTCACTGAGTCAGTATTCACTAGCTTATTTTATTGTACCAACACTAACCACATGCATTTAATATTAATTTGAAGCCCACATTATAATAAATGTTAGCTGTCACCAAAACATTTTAACGCTGCAAATGCATATGATATTTAGGTACTATTTCACTGGTTGTCAAAATACAGTGACTACTGAGGCCAAATAACTTAAAACCAGGCAGGACCCTCTCAGGGAAATGGTATTAAGGATCTACCTACCATTATTTTACAGTATTGCAGAAGATATCAAATTAGATATTTGTAATGGTCAGTACTATCTTTGGATAACTACTTGGAGATGACTTTTTAAGACTGAAAGAATGCTCATGGAAATAACACTATATTCTGAACATCCAAAAACCCAAAAACAAAACAAAACAAAAAAAATACATAGCTGGTGAACAATGGTAGAGAAAATGGCAATTTTGAGAAAGCAATACTTTTCAAAGCATTCTCTTAGAGGTGGCCCAGGGTTTCTTTACCAAAAGCCTAATGTAGTGTGGCACTTTACTTCCTACAACCAAACTTCCAACTCAGGCATAGAGCAGTTATATGTTTCCAAACTACTGTCTTCTGTCCACCAGGCTGGCTTCAAGGTTCCATGGTCCACCGTGATCTTTTGGTCTTCCGCTCTGTAGCGTGGCAGCCCAGGCTGCTATCCGTTGAGTAGGTAGACCACCAATTCATAGGTGGCCATCATAATGGCTGTATTTGGAATCTGTCTCACCAGATGAGTTGTTAGACCACGGTAAAGAGACCCATAACCTTCTTCTTTAACAATCAGAGACAGTGTCTGAAAAAAAGATCTGTATTTTGTTCCTTCTTCACGTAGTCTTGTTCTTACAACTTCTGTTTAGGAAAAAAGAAAAATCACTTTATTGAAACATTACTCTTATCTTTCTCCTCTCCTAACTCTAAACACACACCTGATCTGTCACTCTACAAATGCAGGACAGTGGTTCAATGTATAGTTTACTGAACCAGTCAGACTACATAAACACCAAAGTAATACAGCCTAGATAATATCTGTTGAACGCTGGTTGGTGGCCCATGCCTTTAATCTCAGCACTTGGGAGGCAGAGGCAGGCAGATCTCTGTGAGTTCCAGGCCAGCCTGGTCTACGGAGTGAGCTCCAGGACAGCCTCCAAAACAAGACAGTGAAACCCTGTCTCAAAAAACCAAATCCCCTCCCTCCAAAAAAAGTATCTGTTGAACAGATGAAAGGGCATATATACAAATGATGAATAAATAATATCCATAAATATAGTAAAGATGAACACGGAGTTTTTTTGGTAGGCATGCTTCATGTGCCAACATAAAACTGCTTGGATCCTTGCCATTTGAAGCCTTTTTTATGATGTACCCATGGGCAAATTAAATTTTTACATTTCTTCTTGCTTCTGGTTTCAAAATGATGACATATGCAACACCGTTAAGGACATGCGCTTCTATTGCCCAGCTGCTCTCTTACCATGCGGGTATGCTATGGTTGTGGCACAGGTTTTTGAGGTGGCAGCAGCTAGCATCATTCTCACGAAATCTGAGGCTTCTTTCACAGACTCTTCATCACTTTCCATCATAGAGGCAGTCTTACATTCTAGTAGCTTTTGCTTTATACTTTCATAAATAACAAAATGGATAACTGTCTCTGATATGCCGGCATAGGAGGCAGACATGCCCCTATAAAATCCTCTTAGTCCATCTGTCTGATACACTCTACGAATACATTCAAAAGCACCCATTTGCTTTTCCCCACGATTCCTGAAAGGAAAAAAGGGAAAATGTTACTGACATTAAGTACTGGAATTTTTTTTTTATCAAAGTTAACTGTATGTATGTATGTATGTATGTATGTATGTATGTATGTATGTTAATTCATTAAGAATTTCAAAGTATGCATTTATTAGGTTTCCCATCTGGATATCATGTAATTATCTCATTACATACTACACAGACTCTTCAGCCTCCCGTGTTCCTCAATGGGATTCAGGTGGGAGAACTTCATGCTCAGGTGCTGACTCAAAGTATCAAAACCCAAACCCTTATACTATGACCATTCAATTATAATCATGCTCAATTTTCTTTGCATTTAGTAGCACAAAAACAATGAGGGCCGGGCATGGTGGTATACCCCTTTAATTCCAACACTCTGAGAGGCAGAGGCTGGTGGATCTTTGAGTTCTAGGTCAGCCTCCTTTACATACTGAGTTTCAGGCCAGCCAAAGCTATGTAATACAGACTCTGTCACAAAAATCCAAAACAAAAAACCCAAACAGCCATGAATAAAAACAAATCAACAACCCAGGGAGCTATGAATTATGACACTGCATATTTGTATGCAGTATGACTGAGCTGCTTTCAATTTCATCCAGGTCTACCTGAAAAGTTACCAGATAGATGCAAGCCAGACAACCTATGTAGTGTACTCATTCATAAGTGGACACCAGACATAAGGCAAAAGATACCCAGCCTATAATCCACAACCCCAGAGGAGCTGGAACCCTCTTCCAGAAACAGCAGGAAGCAGATGCAGAAATCCACAACTAACCATTGGGCAGAAGTTCTGGAGTACAATTGAAGTGAGGGAGAAGTGATAATATGAACAAAGGAGTCAAGACCATGATGGGGGAACCCACAGAATCAGCTGACCTGACCTATTGAAAGATTAATGGCTCCAGTCTGACAAATGGAGAACCTGCACAAGATCGAATTAGATTCCCTTGATATAGATAACAATGGTGCGGGACTGGTGCAATATGAGGTCACTGGCAGTGGGTCTAAGATCTAACTCTAACACACAAACTGACTTAGTGGAGCCCATTCTATATGGAGGATAACTTGCTCAGTCTAGCACAGGGGTGTGGTGGGTGGGGAGGGGCCTTGGTCCTGCCTCAATGAGATGATAGGACAGATTTAGCAGACTTCCTAGGGGAGGCCTTACCCTCTCCAAAGAGCAGATGGGAGGTAGGATGTGAGGGAAGTGGGGAGAGTAGGAGAGGAGGGAGGGGGAAGTGGAATTGGAATGTAAAAAATAAGCTAATAAATAATATATTGAAAAAAGTTTCAACCAGATTTTACTCAGCTGTGGACCTTGTGTGCAGCAATATTGACTGGCTAGACAAGATGAACCTACTGGTGCAATATTGACAAGTCTGTTTTAGGGGATAGCCAACTGCTTTCTGATTGGATGTGAGGCTTCTTCCATAGGAAAGACTCACATTTAGTTCTGAAAACTGATGAAAACCCCATTGCTAAGTGGGGAAGCTACTGGTGTTTTGCTAAATTGACATAATATGCCTGTCAAATTGCCTTCTAAATAATTCTGTTCATGTTCACAGACAGATGGTGACATCAGTTTCTTTTTGTAAGGTGAGCAGTGACTCCAGTACCAAGAATAAATGACTGCTGAATGCTCAGCTATAAATGGGACATAACCCCCTCCAAGACTCAGCAAACACAGCCAGAAGGAGGGGTGGACAGAATGTAAGAACAAGAGGAAAGAGAAAGTGGAGAATGCTGATATCCAGTCATGATCCGCCTACAGTTATGTCAGTTGTGATGACCTGCACAGGATGTCCCCAAGACTGGGCTATAGTCAATCAACACTGTTGGGGAAAGAAAGGGGATTCAGGGGATACCACTATTCCCTGAAGATTTAGATGCAGTTAAAGGTTGATGGGCAAGAATTTTAAGGGGCCCAGTTTCCTGTAAATAAATTCTTACCCATGGCTCCTGTAAATAATCCTAAAGAAGCTCACAGTCCCATACACAAAAAGACAAAAGCAGAAGGGGACTAGCTGACAAGTAGGGGTCACTGAGAATGGGGTAGCAGAGTGATGTGTGTGACTATGATAGAAATGTACCGGGGGCTGGAGAGATGGCTCAGAGGTTAAGAGCACGGACTGCTCTACCAGAGGTCCTGAGTCCAATTCCCAGTAACCATATGGTGGCTCACAACCATCTATAATTCAATCTGGTGCCCTCTTCTGGCATGTATATGTAATAAATAACTAAATCTTAAAAAAAAAAAAGAAAGAAATGCACCATGTACACGTGTGGAAATGTCACGATGCCATTCCATTTTCATGTATAAACAGGTTAAAATGAGGTAAGGCAAGTTGGCATTACTGATACAAATCTATATTTAAAAACTGGCTAAATCTATGTTAGCTTATTTTATTTTCAGGAATAAATACACATTAAGCTATGTTGACTCACCTGTGAGTATAACACTTGGGAAGCTGAGGCAAGAAGATTGCCACACATCTGAGTGCAGCCTCTGATCCTGCTGGGCTACGCTAAGACCCTGCCTCCAAACCAAACCAAGCCAAGCCAAAACGATAAAAACATACCTTGCATCAAGCTGTAACCGGGTCTTTATAAGCCAAATGGGGTTTGTTGCAGTGATTGCAGTAAAACCTAAACAAATATATTTAAAATGAATGTCAGTAGAAAGGAACCACACTCTTCACACTAAGGATCTTTACATTGTATGAATTTACAGTAATGATAATGTCTACAAATGTTTAAACTATTAACTGAAGTAAGCTTTACACTTCGAACACCAGTTCATCTACAACAATTCTCAAGTCTGACCTCCCTAGAAGAGTCTCTCAGGAGCAGTCTTATCTCACCTCAAGTGTTGTCCTAACTTACATAAAACAGAGTGCTCTCTACTCTGTAAGCCGAGCTAGCAAATAGAAATTTGTGTATTCAAGAGCTAAAAAGCATGCATTCTAAAACAGCTGTCTGGAGGTAAGTCACATCACCTGCCACACTACATTCAAATGGCACTACTTACTAATATTTAGGTCTGTGGACCAGAAAAGATTTGTAAAGTAAGTATTATCACAGAGCTAAGGTTTCTGTTAGGGTTATAGGTGGGGTCTACTTGTTATCCAATTAAACAATAAAAACTTAAAAGTCCAAAAAGCCAAAAATGGAAATTTCCCTCTGGCTCTTACAAATAGGGAAGAAAGTCAGTAGGGGCGGAAGGCAGCTCTCCTCCACTAACGTTCCAGTATCATCTGGTGACTACTACTGCAAAGCAGCAGTCTGCTGTGGCTCAGTTTCAGACAGTAAATGAGGCTATCTAGAGCAGTGTGTTTCTGGGACCATGCATTATCCTTACTTGGTGTCATCCTACTTTTAGAAAAACAACATAGAAAATGCAATCTTAATGTCAGGAATTTATGAAGATGTTTCATCTATACAAACAGGGCATTTATTTCGCTTTTACATTTAAGATCAATAATACAAACTTTACAGAATTACATTTACTCAACTGGCCTTTAAATTCACTGAAAACTCACACAGAGGAAATAAGGAACTTAGTTATTTTAATACCTTCCATTAAATGCTATCAAGTCAAGTGGTTTGTTTTTAGAAAGATATACTATACTTATTACATTTAATGTGGTCAAAAATGCTGTGATATATTTAATACTACTTTAAAAGCTAGTAGAATCAATCATAAACTTTCCTTGGCTTTTGGAGCTGCTACATAAGTGAAATAACTTTACCCAACTGTTTACAAAGCCAAATCTGGTTTCATAAAGCTCTTTTCCCTTCTGTGATATCACTTACTCAAATGTTACTTGTTTTATTCCCTGTCTAACACTGTAGAAATAGCCACATGTCACATAAAGGGGTGTCCCAATTAAACTTATTTAACAAATGAAGTCTGGTTTATTAACTTTATAATTTTGTGACTAGTACAGTTTTTGCTTTTCTTAAGCACTTTTAATACTACATACATAAAAAGGAATGAGACCAATAACATTGACAGCATTAGCTGGTCATAATATAATTTAAAATGTGGAGCAGATCGTCAAGAAACACCTTTTTTAAATGAGGGGTTCTTCTTATGATTATATTCTTGGTGAAAGAAAGATGACTCTCAGACTTGTTTAAATGTTTGTCTTACATGTTAAGTCTGAGAATGAACTTACACTGTTATTTTCTTCCTTTGAACTACATTTTTCTAACTGAGAAGTTAAAATTATGTATTATCAGAAATCAACACACGTCAAAACACTAAGTGACTCCTTGTTGCTGGGCACTGAAATAAGGGTCTCATAGCTGCTAGGCAAGTGATCTAACTACAAAGCCACATCCCCAACCCTGACTCTTACTAGACAAGAATTGTATCTCCTAAATATTTATGGCAGTTAGGGGTTTCACAGAAAGATGAAGAGTTTCTAAGTGAAATAATGGGGAGCAGCATAAATCCACAATTATCCATTATTCACAATAATTTAAATAATTCCTAGGAAAAATAACTTGTCTTCTTATGAAAATTTAGGAGGCATAAGGGAGAAATCCTTAAGCTAAGAATAAAGCTATCCAATTGCCGTTAAAAATTTTCATTCAACTTTTCTGAAAAGATTATCATCAATTTTAAGTTTAAAATAAAACTTTTAGTTCAAGTTTCTGTCCTTATTCTAAGTCACAAAAATTCTTCACTTTAGGATAGAAACAGTGCATGTAAAAATATTTTAAAATTTTACTCAGAATACAGAACTTTTAAGACTCAAATGGTAACTTTGAAACTTCTCGTAAACAAACGAGGTCAGAAAGCAAACAGCAGCTATTTCTCACTTAACTAAAATTCATTTCCAGATACAGTATGTACCAGGCCAACATGAAGATTTAGGTAAGTGAGAGAATGTTATTTTGTACTTGGTATTGCTGGAAGCTATGCTTACTGTGGATGTTCTGGCTTAACTTTTCTAGGAAATGGCACCAGTTTTCAGTACAGACAACCAGCCAATCAGCAAACTACTACTGGTTTGGATAAACAATCTATCTAGGTATCAGCTACTGGTTTTTAGCTGTTGGTCCTTTTAAAAAATTGCTAACTGGTTCTTGAGTTTCACAGTAATACTTTCTCTTAAACCAAAATTACTTGAAATAGCGAATAGACATTATTAGACTAATTAAATCTGAAAAATATAATCTATTAACCCAAGAAATGAAACAAATGGAATAAAACCAAATTTTACTATTAACAAAATTATGTGGTAAGGCAGTTTGTGGTCGGCCACAACTAAACATGTCTTCTTCCTACATTTACGACAAACACACACAGATACTGGGCATGGTTGGTCAAGGGGTTTAGCAATTACCTATCACTTTTTGGCATTTTTAGTTTTGTTACATTTTGATAAAAGACTAATGTATTCAGAACACCCAATAAAACACGAAAACCAACTGAAGAGTATAATGTTGAAGTCACTTCTAGACTAAGAAATCTATATTGTTCCAGAATCAGCTAAGGCAAAGTGCCAATACAGGCATTTAGTTAGTAGTGTCAGTGTTTTACAAATACAAATCTAAGTTATGAATCAAATAAACTTCACTTGATAATATGTCAATTAAAAACCAACAAATCCCACCTACAGAAACTGCTAAAATTGAGTGGTGTCTGTAGTATTATATTTCAGAATTTATTTCAATTTAATTCTGAAAGTACAATGCATATACAGCCTAAGAGAAAAGTATCAAAACTATTTTTAAAATTTAAAACTATACTAAAACAGCTAAGATCTCATTCACTATAGCCTGCACTTCTTAGAAAGTAGAGACACCAGTCTTTTCAAAGAACGGCAGTAATCAAGTAATTCAAGTATCAATAGACTGGAGTGGAAAAGCACTGTATCTACTACTATGTAACAGATGTAGGACAGCATATTACCAACTACAGCTCTCTCTAATGTATTAATGTACACTGTTGTCATTCTGTGGAGGTCAAGGCTATTATGGCCAAGCTGAAGACCCCAGGCTTACATGGTAACTGAAAGTACCCTATGCTTCCTTCTAGAAGGATAACAAAGGGACCAGAGCTAAATCTTTATGAAATACTCAGCAATGCACACAAATCCATGTCCCACCTTCTACTTATTCCACAGCTATTAAAATCCCAGGGTGTGTTTCTTATACTAGAGGCTGCAAGAGATGCTCAGATCAGTACTCACGAGGTTTAAGTTAGTCCATATTTCTACAGGAAGTGACCTGCGGATGGGGAGCATGAGATGACACGATCTCACTCTTTTCTCGGGAGAAATGTACAGTAAATGCCTAAAATAGACACAGGCTTTTCTGTATCATAACAACAAGCAGTGACCTCATCAGATACACGTGTACAAACTGAATCCCACTGGAAGGATTTAAGAAATATTTACTGTGAGATCTTTTTTTTTTTGAAATTTTTAAGTTAGAAGAATATCAGAATGGGCCTTGTGTTTTATTATAAAATGCATAGAGTACTGACAATCCCACCATCTTCAGCAGATTCAGAGTCCAAATACTTACCCAAAAAGATGATCAACTTTGTCTTAGAGAAAAAATGCTAACCTTGTCAAGGGGCAATCTAATAAAAGTTTAGAAGGGATTCTACATTCCATTTCCTACCACTGTTATCTACCATGAAAAGAGCTGCAAATACTTTTATTTGTTCTTTAATAAAAAGATTATCTAGTGATTTAAAACCAACCAAACAAACAGAAATAAGAGCCCCAAGAGAATATTAAAGTCTGGAACTTTGTATAACTAATAAAGAACACAGTGCTATCAAAAGTACCTGTCACCTTTTGACTCTAGCAGTAATATTGCACATCCATACTTATGGAATATTTTGGATTATTTTGTATTAATTCTTGTGTTCTAAAAAACAGAAAACAGGAAAAATGTTCACAAACAAGCATACAAAGCAGTTGTCCAACCATGCACTTGGCTGAATACTGTAAGGAAAACTTTATAGTTAAGGAGGAAAAAAAACACCTAACCTCACATTTAAATAATGAAATTAAAATCATAGAAAAAAATACCTTGAAAAAAATGTGTTCTTGAAAACAAAAAATCAAAAAATTGTATTCTGTAAGTATATACTACTCACTAGATATATACTGACAACATTAAATGTTATATTTATTGACAAGTTAGAAATTTCACACTAACCATGGATACACAGGAAAAATAGAAATTGATTTCCTTTATACTTATGTCACAAATAAAAAATAAGTGTCAGGTAACTTTTTAAAAATTGGTTATTACTGTAAATAAAGAAGAAACTTAAATAGATTTTGGCAGAATAACAGGTGTCATGGTATTTCAGAAGTCTACTCAAGATTACCTCAACAAAACAGACACAAAACAGAACCTCAATAGCGCCAGTAAATGGTGTCAAAAGTCATGTGTAAGGGGGAAAGGGATAGGTAAAACACAAAACCAATCAGGATTACTTGGATTAAATAGCTTTGTAACCAGAAAATGTTTCAGTAAACAAAAACATACATTTTAGGTGTGGTCACTTAAAACACTGCAAAACCCGACTCTCTTTATTTGCATTTTTAACTAAGTTTAATGTTTAAATTACATGTTTCAGTAGATTCAGACAACCCGCAAAATGAAGCAGAAGAGAAGCTGTGTGTGCTGACTGGTGCGGGAATCCCCAGGCAATAATGGCTAACTGCTTCTTTTAATGTATTTTTGCTACTAAGGTGACAAGGTTAGCATTTTTTAATTCAATTAAAATCTTTTTCACAGAACTTATCTTTAAGTACTTTATACCTCTAAATTCTTTGATGTTAAAAAATACACCCTGAAGAAAATCCAGAGCAATCTGGTGCAGATTATTTTAATAATAAAGGGGTCAAAAAGCTACCTTAATCTGTACTGGACCATTCTGTTTCACCAGCCATGTAGCTACAGACAAAAACCTGCAAAGCTAGATGTTAATGCTAACAAACAGTGCAAGGAAATGCTGAAGGCATAATTTTCAGGACAATGTAACTGCAAACAAATGAAAAAATATTTTCAAATTACACAGTAAGTGTCTGAATATGCATGCTTATCAATTTACTTCAAAACTGAAGAAATTCAAGTTTGGGAAATAGCATTAATGAAGATGTTACACATTTGAGTAAAGTATTTTAAAGACATTTTACTGACTTACTTTGCAACGTGATACAAAAATAACAATTTTGGTAAGCTGTCCTAATAAAATAAGATGTTCTGGTAAGAATTTAGATACTTTGAACCTCTAAATGTGCAATATTGAGTCCATAATAAACACTGTTAACACTGAAATGATTGATTATCTAATCTTTTGATTTCCATTTTTTAAAGTAACATTAACATTTCCTTTCAATTTCCTGGACAAAGAAGCCCCCTCCCCCAACCCCACAAATGCTGAAAATCTAGAACTATATCACTAACCTAATGCAATGGTTACTGGGTTTATAACAAATTGGCCCAACTTTCACCTATACCTAGTCAAACCCATGAGAGGAAAACATGCACAAATAGTACAATTAAAAAATTCTAGTTTGGGTTGGGCGTTGGTGGCGCACTCCTTTAATTTCAGCACTTGGGAGGCAGAGGCAGGTGGATCTCTGAGTTCAGGGCCAGCCTGGTATACAAAGTGAGTTCCAGGACAGGCTCCAAAGCAATACAGAGAAACCCTATCTAGGAAAAAGAAAAAATCTAGTTTGTAACTAGGTAATACTATTACACTAAGAACTAATCTCAAAACCCGATCTATCCAGATCAATCCTGTTATTCCAATGATAAGGTCACAAAAACTTCCAGAAACCAACATTTCCAGACTGGCAAATGATACACTGGCCCTTCCAGCTTCAAAATGTCAATCAATTAGTCATCAATCGAAAATATAAAAAGTCTTGAAAACAATTTGTAAGCTATATGCTAGATTTATTATATAAAAGGTTATCAATCTTCCACAAATCATTATTTCAAACTTACACTTGGTTAAATATATTGTTTAAATTAAACTACTCTAAATAGAAAATGACCAGTAGTTTAAAGCACTTAGTAAGCACACACTGGGAAGTCAATTTATTGATCAACAGCTGATAAAAGTTATAGTTTTCTTTACAAAGTTAAAGAATATGGAAATAAATAGATTAAATAATTCTCAGAAAATTGGAACTAATATTCAAGGCTTTGTCCAACATGCATGGCAGCAAATGATTCCAGAACCAGAATGGCAAACTAATGTCTACCACTTACCCTTAGAAGGTAGTGCAAAGCCCTGTAAGGGTGGTTCTGATACCAAATCATACTCGTCATGAAATTAAGTTCCTGGGGAAAAATTTCTACACAAGCTAAAGTTCAGGTCGAGTATGTAGTCTAGATTAGTCTTACACACACACAAATTATAGTCACTGGGTCATAACAAACATCACAAAAGCTGTAGCATCTGAGCAGAGACATGAATACTTTACCAAGTACAGGCGGCACGTTTCAGACAGAAGCCGAAACATGCAGCAGGAAGGCACTAATGGAAACTGAGGAGAGCAAGTGGCAGCTTTGATTCCAGTGGGATTATGGCTGGACTCTTAAAAGCATGAATGCATTAAATATTAGGTAGTACATAGCAAAATAAATATACCACATACAGTCTGCCACTTAAACTCTTAATTATAAAGATATAACTTATAACAGATTTTACGTATACCAAATATTTTATTTAAATGAACAAAAAATCATTCTTTGTAGATTCTAACTATTAAAAAGCACACTAACCATCTTAATTTGATAAAGTCATTATAAAATATTAACATCTCCATGTTTCACAAGTTTTACTATTAAATATTCATACCTGCCATTGCAGCTGAAATCATGTGTACTTGGGTGGAATCAGGATCAAAAACACCATTCAACTTTTCCTTGCAGTTTGAATAAGCAGCAAAGTATATTGCTCTAAAAATAAAAAAATAAATTAATAAAGCATAAATCTTCATAATTTTAGAATAGAGAAATAAAGTCTCAGTCATATTCAATGTAACATCAGATTTACCCATTTTTCTCCACAAAGAGCACGTTTTGTACTTTAGAAAAGTCAAAACTCCAATGTATAGTTCCTGATAACCATTCTCATGGCTCCCAAGCTGGGCTCAATACTGACAACGTGCGTGATAACATCCTGGTAACTGGAGGCTCTATGCACCAGTGAGGCTGTGTGTTTGCACTTCTGAGCCAGTCTACTTAAAATGAGTTAGGGGAATAATTTTAGAGGTAGAGGTGATCTAACCAGTCTGATGGACAGCTTTGTGATTCTGTAGTATATTCTACACTATAAACATACACAAAATAGGTTTATATGTTCTACTTTTTTAGTACTGAAGATCCCACCCAAGTCTTTATCCCCTTTATTCCTTTTGCCCACAGTATTAAGACAAAGAAATTTTAACAAATGTGATCAGGTTCATCAGGTCACATTATGTTTTTGCAATGTGTGGAAATACTCGTTTAGTCTTTGAAGTACTGAATTGTTGGCTTGTTGAATCAAACAATGCATTATTTCTCAACAATGCTGGTTTACAGACCAGTAACAAGTAGACCAATAACTGATAATGGAGATAGTTTCATTACTCCTTTTCCTTCTGATTGTATTGAGTATTCTGCCTTCATGTAAGTGTACCAGGTGTATGCAGAGCCCATGGAGACCAGAAGACGGTGTCAGATCCTTTGGACTGGAATTATAGATGTTGTGAGCCTCTATTAGGGTATTGGGAACTGAATTCAGGTCCTTTCTAAGCAGCAAATGCTCTTAACCACTAAACCATCATCTCTCCAGCTTCCATGACTGTATTTTTAAAAATTGTGTTTAAGAAAAAAGGGGCCAGGCATGTGGCTTTCATCTGCAATCTTAGCAGACAGCAGGCTAAGGCAAGAGGATCATAAGTACAAGGACAACCTGACCTAAGTGAAAGCCTGTTTCAAAAAAAGGGGGTTGTCCAACAATTTGAAACAAATCATTCTATTTATGAGGAACACAACAACAACAAAAAAACCCTCTTAGGATACACAATTCCAAAATATGAAGAATAAACTCATTTCCAAGAAGGAATCACAGAAGAAATTTTAATGAGAAAATAGGTATGCATATACATAAAGGAAATATAAAAATTAAACATTATAATAAAAAGAATATAATTACACAAAAATAAATACATGTCAAAATCCTAAAAGAAAAATTTTAGCACATTTATTAAGTACTAAAAAGATGGGAACAGAAGCCGGGTGTTGGTGTCGCATGCATTTAATCCCAGTACTCGGGAGGCAGAGGCAGAGGCAGGCAGATCTCTGTGAGTTTGAGGACGGGCTGGACTGACAGCCTCTAAAACAATACAGAGAAACCCTGTCTCGTAAAACCAAAAAAGATGGAACAGAGCCGGGGCCGGGTGTTGGTGTCGCATGCCTTTAATCCCAGCACTTGGGAGGCAGAGGCAGGTGGATCTCTGTTGAGTTCAAGGCCAGCCTGGTCTACAGAGCGGGTTCCAGGCCTCCAAGGCAATACAGAGAAAACCTGTCTCAAAAAAAAAAAAAAAGTGGGCCATATGTGGCTTAAACGCAATGAGTTCACTATATGAAAATAAAAACAAGATCATGATGTGCCTCTTCAGAGGACAAACTACCACGTTGTACTTTTCAATGCATTTAGCTCCCTTTATCCAGAAATCCTACTTAGGTAGTTATTCTAAAATAACGTATCTTTGTGGAATTGCTGTGTATGACTGTAATCCCAGCATCCCAGATGCAGAAGCAGCATTTTGAGTTTGAGGCCAGCCTCGCTATACCATACTACCCTGTCTCAAACAAAAACAAAAACTTCCTTAACTACAAAAGGTAAATGTTTGGGAATGTTTGTAACTGTTGCAAAACAGTTACAATAGGAACTGGACAGAGGACTCAGATGTTAAGAACACTTGCTGTTCTACTATAAGTCCTACATTTGGTTCCCAGCACCCACCCCAACGAGGAGTGCAACTCCAGATCCAGGGAAGCTAACTCCTCTTTTTGGCCTCCACAGGCATCTGTATATATACAGACACACATACTCAAAAAAGATAAAATATCAGTCATGGTGTTTCCAGAAAAGTTGTATTTTTTAGGTACTCAGAGATGGCTCAGTGGTTAAGAGCGTATACCACTCTTGGAGAGGATCTCAGTTGGGTTTCCAGCACTTATGCTAAGAGTCATACAATTGCCTCTAACTTCAGCTCTGAGAGAGCTGGTGCCCTCTTCTGGACTCCAACATACCAACATATGCACACATACAACTTTCAAAAATAAACCTACACATTTTCATTTATTTTCATTGCGTGTCTGTGTGTATGCTTCTGTGTGCAGGTGGAGGTCAGGGAACAACTCTAGGAGTCCATTCTTTCCTTCCACTGTTGGCTCTGAGCGGTGAGCTCAAGTCACCAGGTTTGCATGCAAGTTCCTTTATGCACTGAGCCATCTCACTACCACTACCCACACTGGTCCTGAGTGCAAGACAATGTTGCTCAGCTCCCAATCACAGGTGTAGGCAATCTCTGAATACTTTCTTAAAATGAAAGAAGTGAAATCCAGTAAATAACAAGATGTGAATGGGCTATATGGTTTAAAGTACATAACTAGGTGTCCATATATACATTCTAAATATGAACCCTTTTTTGTATCGCATTCTACAATGGAAGAATCCAGTAGCAGAGGATGATTCCATCTTCTGACTAGGTATACATGGTATACATACATGCACGCAGGAAGAACATTCATACATAATAAACATATTTTTAAAAACCACTTATGTATATAGCCAGGTGAACCTCTATAATTCTAGTACTCCGGTGTCTGAGGCAGGAAGTTGGTAAATGAGGCTAGCCAGGACTACACAGTGAGACTCTCTCAAAACAAAAACATATAATACCCCCCTACACACACATACATCAAAACCTTTATTTTCTTTAAATACTTTTTTTAAAAAAAATGTAAGTTACCACAGTCAAATAAAAGTATAACTTCCACAATTTATCATAAAACATCGATTTATCCTTGATCCCTACACTTAGAGGTGGATCTCTGTGATTTCAAGGCCAACCTGGTTTATATACAGGTAAACCAGGGCTACATTTTGAAACCCAGTCTCAAACAAAAAAATAAGAACAACCCATTCCCATATCAGTTTAGTTTTTGCCCTGGGTAAATACTCAGCCCTTCCCATAAGTATAAAATTCCTCTAGTTCCTACGGTCAAAAGAGAATATAAGCATTTCCTCAGAAGGTAGTGTAATAGACAAGTCATTAGTTATGAGAAAATTCAGATTTTGAAAGCATTACTAGTTTAATAGGTCCTATTCAATCCAACTCAAAGATGTTATTTTAATTTATAGTTTTGAATAAAGCATTCTCCCCTTAAATGTCAGATCCATTCATAGCAATTTAAAATATGAAATGGTCTACGAATAGTTTTAAACTTAGAGCCATTTTATTCCACATTTCATTTTCCAAGTGTGAGCACTAAAAGTTTAAAGCAAACATTACACCTCCCTTACAACATGAAACATTCCTTAGTACAATGAACTTGTTAGTTCCCAAATCAAGCTTTTCTGTGTAGATTCCTTCTAATTAACACCAGAACTCTCAAACAACCTTCCCATGAATAATGAAAGTTGCATTTATAAATTTAACTGTATCTACAAATGATTATATCCAGATTACCTTGAAATAAAGACTGCCATAATTTTACTTAGCCTTTTTGTTTGTTTTTTTACCTGGAGGGGGCCACTCCCACTAAATTGGGGCCTAATCCTCTAAACAATGAGCGAGGACCCTCTTTTTCCAGGATAACTCTGAAAAGAGAAAAACAAATTATTAGAAAATATTCTTCAATTGTCCTTTACTAATATCTTAGAGCAAAGCCAATTTATCTCCTGTTTATAATGTATCTTTCTGATCCATTTTCATTACTCATAAAAACACTGGGGGGCACAGGAAAAAGTACTGAAGAATTCAAATGATTTACTAGGGACAATAAAACTTTGTACATATTCTTTTCTAAAATGCTGGCAAATGGCTCAGTGTAAAGGCACATGTCACTCAGTCTAAGATCTGATTTGGATTCCTGGAACTCACCGAATGTTTGAAGGAAAACTGATCCACACAATTGGTTTTCTCCCCCCTCCATGTATGCTGTGCCAAGGATGTAAGCCATATACACATGCACAAAATAATTTTTTTTTTTTGGTTTTTTACGAGACAGGGTTTCTCTGTTTTGGAGGCTGTCGGTCTAGCCTGGCCTCGAACTCACAGAGATCCGCCTGCCTCTGCCTCCCGAGTGCTGGGATTAAAGGCATGCGCCACCAACGCCCGGCTGACATGCACAAAATTTTTAAAAAATAGTTTTGTTGAGGTATGCAGACTCATGCTTGTACTCCTAACACTGGGAGACTGAGGTAAGAGGACCAGCCTAAATTTGAGTGAGTTTCAAGTCAGACTGGGCTTTGAGTCCCTGTCTCAAAGTGACAGAAAAGATTAAGAAATATGATGGGGGAAGTCCTTCTATGTATATGCTGATGAATAAAGCACTGTTGGCCAATAGGAATGCAAGATAGGTGGGACCAGGAGTCAGGAGGATTCTGGGAAATGTAGTCAAGAGAGGAGAGTTACCATGTAATCCTGGGAGGAGAGAATGCAAAGTCTGGCGTTCTCGGTAAACTAAGACCTTATAGCTTTGGTGGTTCAAGCCTTTAATCGCAGCACTTGGGAGGCAGAAGCAGGCGGACCTCTGTGAATTCGAGGCTAGCCTGGTCTACAGAGATCGAGTTCCAGGATAGGCTCCAAAACAATATTAGTAATTATGGGTTAATAATTAAGTTAGAGCTAGCCATTAAAAAAGCCATAACAAACGGCCAACAGCCGTTAATATAGTGTCTTAGTGTGTTATTTGGGGGCTAAGACAGTGGCGGGACCCAGGCAGCTGTGAAAAAAGTACACATTACAAATATATATATACATATATATGTATATATATATTGTGACACTGACTTGCTTTCTCTTGTGTCAGCAAACTAAATCCCAAGAGCTTCCTGCTTTCAAGGTTTTATCTGGTACTGGGGATCAAATTCATACACAGAAGACAAACCCTCTACCACTGGGCAGCAGTCCAGTCCTTGAAATCTTTACATAATCCTGGAAAATACCCCAAGTGCTGAAGTATGATGTCAATCAACAGCTCCAGTGAGACGCTATGGCAAAATCTATTAACCTAACACCCTCTGGGTTACTAGAATGCTTGGTGAGTTTCCAATCAGTTAACAATTACTATATTAAGAACTTAATATATAAAGAGCTTACGACTAGATAAAAAGAAAGGAAAAGATGTAGTCCCTGACACTGAAAATTTTGCTAAGACTTCTGTGAGTTTAAGGCCAGCCTGATCTACACAGGAAGCCCCAGGACACCCAGGACTACACAGAGAAACCCTATCTTGAAAAAACCAAAAAAGAAAACTTTGCTGAATAGCATATTAAGACAAATAATTTAATAGGTTACAATAAACAAATATTGTTCAGGATATTTATCGCCAAAAGAAAAAGGGAGTGAGTCTAGAGGTGCAGAGGTGAGAAGGGACAGGAATATTTTAATGTAGAAGCCAGATGTGTGACAGATGCCTATAATCCCGCATTTGGGAGGCTGAGGCTGAAGCAGTTCAGGCCAGTCTAATTAGAACTGATTTGGAACAATAAATAAACAAATAAATAAAAAGCAAAGAAAACTTTAGAGCTAAGAAACAGGTAGATCAAGTGCAGATGAATGTAATAGTTAATTAAAGGTATGAGCTCAAGGAAAGACTTTTCTCTGAAGTCTATTGGTGGAGAAAACAACTATGAAAAAGTAATCACCCATTCCAGTTTTAGGGTAAGAAAACAAAAGAGTATTCATCTATTGAGTGCTCTAGTAATTAAATAAATTAATTTACAAACAGAATAAAATAGTGCATGAAAACCGAGGAAATGGTGGTAGTGGTGGTGCATGCCTTTAATCCTATTACCGAGGAGGCAAAAGCAGGTGAATCTGTTTGAGGCCAGCCCAGTCTACATAAAATCCAAGGTCATTCAGAATTATATGATGTTTTGTCTCAAACACCCCTAATAATAAAAAAAAAAATGGAAAGTTCTTACGATGAAGGAAAAGCAAAATTACTGAAAACCAGAACAACTACAACTGTAGCCCCATGGGATCTGATGTTCTCTTCTAGCGTGCTCTTTCTAATTAAAAAACAAAAGAGAAACATTTCCCACATCAATCAGTGCTTTTCTGTAATTACAACATTTTAATTCAATAGTGTTAAAAGTACTTTCATGTACTTAGGTTCATGTTGAAAAAAGTGTGATGCAATCTTTTTGTAGCAAATGTCAATACACTGGATGAGTTCATTTGCTACTACAAAACAAATACTACTAAACTAAGTTCAAACAGTTTCAAGTGAGATAAGGCAGACACACAGGCATTGAGCTCTAATACAAATCTAAGCACATAGAAACTGATCTGAGTAAGTTTTGTTCTGTTTTTCGAGACAGGGTTTCTCTATGTAGCCTTGGATGTCCTGGGACTTGCTCTGTAGACCAGGCTAGCCTCAAACTCAAGAGAGCTGCTTGCTTCTGCCTCCCAAGTGCTGGGATTAAAGGTGTGTGCCACCAGAGCCAGTCTTAAATAAGTTTGAAAGCAACTTAATTAAGCCTAGTAATAAACATGCCAATCTTTTTCCAATCATCAGAAAATGTCAACACACAGAGATTTTAATTTGGGATAACTGTTTCAAGCCGAAGCTGTATATTTTGTAAAAGAAAACAGACTGTCAACAACTAGATGCAGGTACCTGTGCACATATATGAACATTAAAAACACAATAGTAGCACCAACGCTACCTTCATTTCAAAACTAAATAGAACAGCCATCTGGGTATGGTGGCATGGAAGGAGGCCTGTTCTGGATACTGAATTCCAGACCAGTCAGGGCTACACAGTGAGACCTTGCCTGGAAACAAATAAAACAAAAATACCTATAACATCTTTAGAAAAGAAACCCAATGGATAAGTTTAGAAAAAAATATTCTAAATAGATTCAATTTGGAAATATTCCATTAAACATAATCTTTATAATTGTTCTACTCCATTATGGCCTGTTACCACTCATAAGTACGACTCATAGTAACTTATGTCACTTTTAAATGTAGAAGAAAAAACTAAGCATGTTGGAAACACTAAGATAAGCAGCAGCAGCAGCAACAACAAAATCCAGGAATGCTTTGCTCACTTTAGGCAATGCAGAGGTCCAGGGGACATTACTCGGTTGACACTGGCTCCAGCCATGGTGTTCAGCTGAACTTCAGAGACATAAAGTGTCATAGAAGATGACTGTAACCGTGTTTTGACAACTTCCAGTGGACATGTCAGAATAGCTCCCACTGTACCACCACATCTACAAAAAAATCCAAGAAGATCAGAATTTAGGCATCTAATCAGCCAATGAGAACATACATGTGCTTACCCACGGCTCTAATCCAAAGGTGCTGCACAACCTTACTAAAATTTAAAAATCTGAAGACGTTTTTGAACGTTTTACTTACTTGACTGAAAATGAATACTTTTGGTCACTAAAGAGCTGAGAGAACCATGGAAAGCACCCAGACATGCTGTAACTGGTAGACCTACCCTCACATCATATCAGAAGTTTGTGAAAAAATAAATAAAACCAAACAAAAATTAAAACTGAGTTTATTAATTTGCACACAACTGGGTAAAGGAAGATTTCCAGTGATAGCTGTTACTAAAATGATTGACAAACTGAATGAAGGCTTTAAGAGCTGATTAGCACTCCTTGCTCAGGTGTTATTTGTAGCGCTGTTGAAATCTACACCTGTGTTTGAAACATATCCACCTTTCAAATTTCTAACCCTTTAAGATCTCAGAAATAGCCAAGTGTTGGTGGCACACGCCTTTAATCCCAGCACTCGGAGGCAGAGCCAGGTGGATCTCTGTGAGTTCAAGGCCAGCCTGGTCTACAGACCGAGTTCCAGGATAGCCTCCTAAACAATACAGAGAAACCCTGTCTGGAAAAACAAACAAACAAACAAACAAAAAACTCAAATAATTCTGAGCAGTAGGGCAGATACAAATTACGTATGGATAATCATACTCATTTTAATTGCTCCCAACAATCAGAAGGACTTTACTACAAAACATAGTTTCAGTCACTATCTCTTACTTCCAAATGTGCAGGACAGATAGAATTAAGTGAAAAAAATAAACAAAAGCCTTTTAATATAAAGATTGAGCATCAGAGTAACAAAATAAAAACTTTTAACAAAATGTATTATTTAAACTGGTTAGAAAAAAAAGGATTTAACCTAACCAATTATTCTCTTTGAATACAAGAGCAGGAAGGACATAGCACACAGTAGTTTATATCTATAATCCCAGCTCTCAAAAAGTCGAGGGAAGGCTAGGTAGGGACATACCAATAGCTAGATGGGAGAGGGAGAGGGAGGGAGAGAGGGAGAGAAGGAGGGAGGGATGGAGAGAACAGGAGTCTAATTCCCTGATGAGCTAAACAATCAGAGTTCAAGTTTAACAAATGGCACTGGATGCAGATACATTATTGCAATCTTTTCAATTGCAGACAAGAAAGACTTCCATGCCCAGAGTGAACAGAAGATAACACAAAAAGGAGAAAATATCACAAAGACTTCTCAATAACCACAAATTAACCTCTAGAATCCTAAACAAAGCTAAACTATCATGAAGGACAAAGCATACTGACACATGAGAGAGAATGACCTACACTTTATTTTTCTCTATAATGAAGCATTCTACAAACAATAGAAACTGGATATAGGAACAAAATACCCCGCACACACTTTTTTGGGGGGAGGTAAGAAAGTAAGCGCCAAACTTATAGCTAATCATATGAGAACTCAGGACAAAAATCTCTAAAAGGAAGCTAATAAAACTAATGTATTTAACCATAGAAAACAGTGGCCAGGTGTGGGACTTACATCTACAACTCTAGCGCATGGGAAGCCAAGGCAGGATCAGGAGTTCAAAGCTATCCTTTGCTATATAAAACCCTGCCTCAAAATCATGCCAAGGAAACAACAAAAGAATCACATACAAAGTATGAGTGCTCATATAATTAAGGAAAAGTATATAAATGCAATTATACTCAGTGAGAAAGAGAAGATAAGCATAAGAAACAACTTACCCTTGCTCTTACAAGAGGTAACCACTGAGCCAAACAAAAGAAAAAAAGGTAAGCTGACTTAATTTTTACTAAAAACTGTACTATAACTAACCACAATGAAAAGATAGAAATGAAGGAGGAATGGAAAGTGGTACACTAAACTAAATTCCCATTTACCAGAATATCATATAGTGATTTTACAAAATCAATTAGAGCTCAGAGCGTTGGTGGCTCATGCCTTTAATCCCAGCATTTGGGAGGCAAAGGCAGGTGAATCTCTGTGAGTTCGAGGCCAGCCTGGTCTACAGAGAGAGTTCCAGGACAGCCTCCAAAACAAAACAGAGAAACCATGTCTTGAAAAACAAAACAACAAAATCAATTAGAATTGTATAAAAAAAAAAAAAAAATAAAGAGCTGGACACAGACATCCACTCCTAAGTAAGGGTGAAGTGAGCATGGAGAGGAGCTGGTTCCATTATCTTTCAGCAGCTTTTCTTTGCTCTTATCATATGCATCTATTTTCAAAAAAATTGCTTTTGAGACAAGGTCTCTCATAGCCCTGGCTGGCCTGGAAGTCAAAGATCTCTGCCTCTTAAGTGCTCAGCACAGGCTTGTAGTTTCAGCACTTAGGAGGCAGAAACAGAACCAGAAGTCCAAGATAATCCCTGGCTGTATACACACGCTTCTCAGCACTCACTCCCAGTGCATTCAAGCAGGCCCTTAGTATTCCCTCAGGCCAGTGATGTGGCTGCCAATTAATCAGTTAATGTGAGTATTTTACTATTTAAAAGTTACAAAGTAAGGTTATTTCTGTCAAACAATCACTCATTTGCTCTGCCTTCTTCACTGACAATTCCAGGGAAAGAACAGCTGAGTTGGAGACCAAGGAGCATTAAAAATTCATTATAGCATCAAAAATCTCTAGATTATGAGTTTAACTTAATTATAAAATGGCATTTTATCTTTGGTAAATCCAAAGTAACCTCAATTGCTTTTTTTTTAAGTCAAACTACCTGGACCAATGGCTTAGAGGTTATGAGCACTGGTTGCTCTTCCAGAGAACAGGAGTTCAGTACCCAGCACCCACAACGAGGTTCACAACAGTATGTAATACCTGTGGCGATATCTAGTTTGTACTCTTAACAAAGCTTGCCTGGAGATCAGTTAATCATAGAGGTCTGGAGGTCTGTACAGACAGAAAGTTTGATATGGCTGGGTGGAGAGAGGACTATAGGCATGAGGAGGATTTTGTAGAGCTCTAGCAGCTGGCGGCTCTGCTTCTCTCATCTTTCAGTTTTCACCCCCTAATATCTGACTCTACAGGTTTTTATTAATACTAAGTAAAACTCGTGCCAGCTCTAGAAGATCCAATGGCCTCCAGGGGTACCCAACATGCCCAGAGTGTACAGACATACAGACAGGTAAAACACTATACACATAATAATAAAGTTTACAGGCAATTAGTGGGGAGTGGTGCAAACCTCTAATTTAGCACTCTTGAGGCTAAGGCAAGGGGACCAAGAGCTGCAGACCTTCATAACAAAACAGTCACCCAGAAAGAGGAAGGGAGAGAAGAGAGGGAAGAAAGGGAGGAGGAACGAACGAACCAGGGAGGAAAAAGGAACTAAAGGAGTAAACAACCAAGATTACTTAAGAGAAACAAGACAATCATATATTCTATGCATTGATCTAGACTATTCATTGTTAAATTCAACAACTTTATATGACAATTAAAACTTTTCTATTTTGTGTTTGTGTAGTAAGTTTACCCAACTTTGAGGCGTTGCTTTTGTATACTTATGAACATCAACTACTTTAGTACTTTTACCAACCTCTGGAGTAAGTGGGCACGTTAGAGTAAGTTAAGCACAGTGTAACCACGACTGTTTAAAAGCACAGAATATGAAAAAATTCTGCAAACAGATCTTGTAAGAAAGCGGGAGTTAAAGTGTTCTCCCACACAAGTTCACCACAGGCACAAGAATTACAAGTGGAGGGTGAGGGGATGAGGAAGGCAAAGGAGAAGCTTTCACTAACTAGCAGTGAAGTACCAAGCAGATCCATTCCAACCACGCTGCTAAGACCCATGAGTCTGCCAGGTATGCAGACACAAACGGTCATATATAGTCTTAAACCGCTGCACCACTAGAACCAGTTCCGCTGTCCACAAAGAACTTTTACTAACCAAATTGGGGTGGAGTAGGGGCATAGGAACCTAAGAACCTTCGAGATTCTGTTGAAGGAAGGGGAGGAATATAGAACAGATTCCAAGACTGACTGTCAGACATAGCTTACCTTCAGTTTCAGATTCTGAGCATGCCTGGGCAAGGACATTTGTTGGATAGGCAAGGAAATTCCTAACTGCAAAGTATTTCCTAGGTCCACAAATCTGGGTATGTGCACATTTTAAAAGGTGCTTGGGAATTCATCTTTCCTATCTTTACACAAACCTATTTCCTCAGACAAATGCACTTTATCTTTATAAAAACAAAATGAGGCCCGGCTTTGGTGGTGCACACCTTTCATCCCAGTACTCAGGAGGCAGAGTTCGAGGTCAACCAGGTCTATGGAGCAAGTTCCAGGACAGGCTCCAAAGCAATATAGAGAAACCCTGTCTCAAACAAACAACAACAAAAAGCAGAATTAACAGGTTGATCCATTTTTCTGTCTCCAAGTAATTCACCATTTCATGAGAAACAACACTAAAAGCATCTCTAAAATCCTGTCAACCTTGTTAAAGAATTCTTACCAACTTTTTATTTTGTAGCTTATTTTGTTAACCAATACTACACACTGAGCACAGTGACAGATTACCATGAAAAACTAAATAAACTGTTGAAAATAAAGGGGTATTTAAGGTATGTGTGCTGTTTCTGGTGCAGGAAAAAAATAATAGACTATTCTTACTTTGAATGCTAGAGCAAAATAAAGTCAGAAAAATGCTGGCCAACTGGTTAGATAAACAGAAGTGTGGAAAGACACTAACACATAGATCAAGATACAGTTGTATAGTATCAGACTAAGGACTAAAAACATCATGAAAACAAAATATGCAGAAGGAATGTGATATTTTGAAAAAGTAAATTTCCCTCATAAACTATAATTTAAATCAAATTTCAAAGTTGTCCATTTGTTTTCTTCCTGTCTCTTTACTGTTCCAATCACAATTTTTAACTCCTTGTTCTGTAAACACCTAATCAAAACCACAAAAGGTCTCCAATCAGATCAGATCCAGTGGCAAAGAACTCTTAAACATAATTATGACAGCAACACTACAAAGCTCACCTTCTCTTCCTTGCTGCAGCATACTGGCTTCATTCTGTTTCAGAACACATTTTCTGGTTCTTCTAGTTTCTTTTCTTTTCTGAGACAGGATCTCATTATATAGACTAGACTGACCTCAAACTCAGATCTACCTGCCTCTGCCTCCTGAGTGCTGGGACCAAGGACATGTGTCACTAAGCTTATCTGGCTCTTCTACTCTTAAGTCCTCATACTTGGGCAGCAGACCCTCCCTAGCCCCTTTCGTGAACATTTTCTTAAGTGAAACTGGTAAAAACCCAAAAACCCCTGCTCCTAGATGCAGACTATCTTTACACAGCTTTGCCTTTAGACTACCAGCACAAATGCCAATGCATTTGTGAAAGGCAAACAATGTCAGACCATTTTTGTGAATATGACTTAGAACCTCAGACCATCAGAAGGGTCCTTGGGAATCCAAAGGAGTTGCTACTGCCCCGCCCCCCCCATCGATGTGCTACACTAATCCACTACAGGGAAACCGTTTAACAAAATACTGTCAGAATAAGCAACTTCCCTTAGTTTTCTAATCCATTAGAATGAAATTCTCACAGGGGAATATATCTCAATGTTTAAGACTCCTCCACCCCCCATCCCAGAATTCATAGGTTTGAATTCTACCCCCTAAATGGTACAGCACCGAGAAAAGGGCTCTGGGCTTTGGGGAAGTGGCTAGATACTGAGACAGAGCTTTATTTCATGAAGAGTGCTGCTAGCTAGACCCTTCTACCATTTGAGGACAGAATGAGAATGCAGTCTGAGGAAGCAGGCCCTCACCAAGCAGGCATGCAATTTGCCATCACCATCACCAGAACTTTCAAGGCAAATAAATGGAGCAAATAAATGTTAGCTTTTTAGATGCCATCTGATTTATGGTATTTTGTTATAGCAGCCCAAAAGATGGAACTGCGGACATGGTTCAATTTCAGCACTTACATGGCGGCTCAAAACCATGTATTTCTCCAATTCCAGAAAATCTGATATCTTTTGATTGGCCTGCGTGGGTTCCTGTACACATGTGGTGCACATACATATACCCAAATATGCATACATTAATTTTAAGGTTTATTTTACTTCATGTGTGTGTATGTGTGCCTGTTAGATCTCCTAGAACTGGGGTTGTGAATCACCATATGAGTACTAAGAATCAAACCAAAATTGGGTCCTCTCTAAGAATAACAAAGGTTCTTAACCACTGAGCCATCTTTCAAGTCACTCTTAAATCAATTCTCTCTCTCTCACACACACACACACACACACCTCAAAACAAAAACCCCACAGGAAAAACAGAAGACAGAGGAAATAGAAATAGTAAAAAATTATGGACACAGCATAATAAAAATAAGCATTATTAAATAAGTATTCTACTTCTGGCCTGATCTTAAAAGGAGCCAAGTGAAATAATTTCACAACAACAACAACAAAAAAATCACAATATTACTCACTAAATGATGTAATAAATTATAAAATAACTTGATAAAATTGTCTTTATACTACTTTATGTCTATATACAGACACACAGCATCTGAAGTATATCGAAAACTAAACCTTACTTAACATTCTCTTTTTTTGCAAGCTACCATGTCTCTGTAACTCAATTAACCCAACGAAGGACCTTACAAATTCTGAATATTAACTCTGGCAAAAGCATAATGAGATCAAAGGGTGCCTTAAAGAAAGCACGAGTCATGCACGTGAGTGTGTCATTTAGAACCAAGGTCCAGGGCTAGCCTGTTTCAAATGTTCCTATTTAACAATACAGCCCCTAGTAAAAATCTTCTGGGATCCTGATGTGCACACTTGAGTATATTATCAGGAAAGGAACTCAAAGGCTCCCATGTTAAGAAAACCCTTGCCTAAGAATAAATGTCGCAGGGCGGTGGCAGTGCACGCCTTTAATCCCAGGGCTGGGGAGGCAGAGGCAGGCGGATCTCTGTGAGTTCAAGGCCAGGCTGGACCCACAGCCTCCAAAACAATACAGAGAAACCCTGTCTCGTAAAAACCAAAAAGAATAAATGTCACTCTGAAAGGCTATTCTTGGTTCTTTTAAGCTATGCTGAGTGTAATCCAAAGAACACCATGTGAAGAAGCCCAGACATAGTCTACAAAGACACGCCTCTTCTGTATAGTAAAATAGAGTTTACAATTCCTAGTGTACATACAATCACGACAAACAAACCTTGCATTTATGGAGAACACACTAAATTACTGCCAAAACAAGCAAATTTGATATATAAATTAGACATCTGCAATTAACATTTCCAACATAGCCTGCTTTGAAATGATACATGTTTATTACATACAACACTGCCAGAACAGGATTTAAGTACTGGAGAATAGTCAAAATAACCTTTGCTTTCACCCATCACTGATGTTTCTGTGAAGAGTGTATGTTAAATCACTTTGGCAATCACTATATACAAATATGAAATTGAGATGAAATGCAAAAGAAGGGAATTTACAAGGCAAAACCCTGAATCTGGTTTCATTTAACATTCTACTGCGCACATACTAGACTCCTTTGGAAAGGAGGGAACAAACTGGTATTTTTGGATCCCATAAAAATCCTCCATTCTAGCTCTCAACACCAAAAAACTAAACAGAATGGCCTAGATTCATAAGTATTAATAAACACAAAGTGATGATCCTAGACAAACTGCAAAAGTAACGCATATGTGCTAACATTTATTTCATATACAAGGGCACTCTACCTTTAACAAAAATTGCAAAACATGAAAGTAGAACACAAGAGTTTTGTCTATTAAAATATCTATGGTTTTTTAACTTGCAGGTGTAACTAGAAGATCTATTACAAGTAGAAATCCAATAACTTCAGGACAATACATTTTACTTTCCCTTACCTCCCCCCACCCCGAAAACAGAGTTTAATAAAATGTTTTAAAGGCCTGGGGATGGAGCCCTGTCCTGTGGAGAACCTGCCTAGCATGTGCAAAGTTCAGTTACTGCAGAGATTTAATTAGCCCTTTTCTGGCAGCAAACATTTCAGAAACATGAAAAAGCAAACTGGTTTTCACAAAATTAGCAATTGTTTTAATGCCAGAGTGGTGGATGGTTCAAAATTGGTGAATTAACAAGTACTGGAATAAATATGTGTCAACTAAGGAAAGTATTGTCATTGTTAGCAATAGAATCCCCATATATTAACTCAAAGAAAACAACCGGGAAGAGAAATGTATTCTTTGAAATGTATTCCTTCGATATTCTTAAAGTGACTGATCCAAAATCAAGCCCTTGGGGTTTGAAAATGCTACTTTATTCTGCTATATAGACTAGAAAGTTAATTCACCGTAGCTGTTTTTATGACAACGTTATAATCATAAGAAGTCCTAACGTTCTATTTATCTAAATAATTGGGAAGGAACATATCGAATGGAGGAACAAAGTTGGCTCAGCAAAATGGCTGTGGCATCAGCAAACCAGACTTCAGGCTCCATCCTAATCCTGTGCACATATATAGTTAAATATTCATCTAAGTACACGATTTCTCTCAACCCACCCCTTCTCCAAAGCGGCGAGTGCACAGAGGGCTGGTTGGTTTTCCTCAAAATAATTAACAAGAGAAAAAGACTTCACAGCCATTACGGCTTTGCACCATCTCCCGCAGCCGAGACAAGCTAGGGAAAACAAAAAATTTCCAGGGCTGGAAATAACCTCCAGGTACCGCGGGTGAGAGAGCACAACAACGCCTTCCCCGACGGCTGCGACAACCGCCAGCAGCAAGCGCGCAGCGGCGGCCGGAAACAAGGTCGCCCGCGAACGTGGGCGACGTGAGGCCCAGGCGCGCGGGTCCAGGAGGCCGAGGCGGCTCCCATTTTGTCGCCAGGCCGAGTCTCCTACGCGAGGCCGGTGTCCATGCGCCTCGGCTGCCGCGCAGGACCGACAAGCTAGGCCGCGACTCACGCTCAGCCCCCGCCCAGGCCCGGCGTGGCCTCCGTGGGCCCGCGGTTCCGCCCGCAGCCTCCACCCCGCGCGCCCCACCGACCTACCCCCCAGCAAACAGATGCACCAGCGTGTCCCTCTGGCTCATCCTCTCTTCTGCATGTCCTCCGGGCGCACAGGCGGGACGCGAAGCCAGCAGCCCGCCACAGTCAAAGGCGTGGGCCGAGAGGGGACGCCGGGGGAGCGGGCGGAGCCGCAGCTGCAGGAAGGCCACGGGCTAACGCTCCCGGCGGCGTGCCCGGTTCAGCGACCTCCGCCAGACTGCGCAGCCCGAGTCCCGAGGAGTCGGACGGCCCTACATAAACAGAAGCTCCGATTGGCCGAGGCAGCGTGACGTCACGAGACCCACACGCCCCTTTCACGTGATCGCACTGGGGGCTCCTCAATGAAGAGCCGCGGGGCAGGACGGGAGCGCGTGCCGGAGGGTAGTGGGTCGACCTCGCCCTCGCACCTGATCCGCTAACCCGGAAGGCTGGCCAGCCGTCGCCACTTACCTGCGCAGACCGGCTGGGACAGTCTTGAGTTAAGAGCCCAGCGGGCCAAGGCCACAGCTGATCCACTCCGCAAATTTGTGGATTTAGGGCGCTGAGCCATTCTGCTTCCTGTGTTTGCCTTGGAAATCGCTGCTTGCTTGGAAAGGCTTGTGCATTGATACTCGCGTGCATTCTCACAGACTGCACAGTACCAGACCTGATCATTAAACATTAGTGTTAAGTTGGGATCTGTAGGGGGCTGGCGAGGTAAATCACCGAAACTCTTTGTCAGGAGAGGGGTGCAAGGCCTCTCTGTGAAGCTAACCCTCGTAGGTCTGGGGCTCGCTTTGAAATTCAGGCTGGCCTCCAACTCACGCCTTAGACTCCGAAGTGATGGGATTAAAGGCGTTCCAGGTTCTGCGGAACATTCCTGTGATGGAATGCTGACAGAATTCCTGACAGGAATAAGATAGTCATGTGGGGTGAAAAAAAAATCTTCAAAGTGTCTCGAGTGAAGGGCAAGTAGATTAATCTGAAGGTTTGCTACAGGAATAAGATAACTACTTATTTTATTGATCAACACATGTTTCTTTTTTCTTTCATTCTTTTTGTTTGTTTTGTTTTTTTGGTTTTTCGAGACAGGGTTTCTCTGTGGCTTTGGAGGCTGTTCTGGAACTAGCTCTTGCAGACCAGGATGGTCTCGAATTTATAGAGATCTGCCTGCCTCTCTGCCTCTGGGATTAAAGGCGTGCCACTACCGCCTCTCTCTCTCTCTCTCTCTCTCTCTCTCTCTCTCTCTCTCTCTCTCTCTCTCTCTCTCTCTCTCTCTGTCTCTCTCTCTCTCTGTCTCTGTCTCTGTCTCTCTCTCTGTCTCTCTCTCTCTCTCTCTGTCTCTCTCTCTCTCTGTCTCTCTGTCTCTGTCTCTGTCTCTGTCTCTCTCTCTCTCTCTCTCTCTCTCTCTCTCTCTCTCTCTCTCTCTCTCTCTCTCTCTCTCTCTCTCTCTCTTTATTTTGTATACAGTATTCTGCCTGCACGTATGCCTGCAGGCCAGAAGAGAGCACCAGATCTCCTTACAGATGGTTGTGAGCCGCCATGTGGTTCTGGCTACAAAACATACAGACTGCAAGTGTTCACGCCACGGTAGGGGACTGGGTGGGTAAAAATATTTAAAGAACTTCAACAGTGCTGAGTAAGTGCCGTGATGTTGTGTTGCTTATTATTATTATTGGGGGAGGGGCACATGCAGTCAAAGAGCTTTGCCCAAGGTTACCTAGTTCGTTCTAGAAGAGCTCGGATTTGAATCCAGGAGAGACCGACTTCAGAGCCTTAGTTGTTAAAATAATAGCTGTTTGCTAGAGCAGAAAAGAAGAGAAAAGGGCAGAACTAGAAGAGCAGAGTCAAAGCGCGGCAACCCTGGCCAAATGCCAAAAATTCTGGCATGACATCCAATGGATATTTCTTTCTATTGTATGGCAATTTTGTTGAGACACAATTCCCATAACAATGGTTGTTAAAACGTGTGATTTGCCGGGCGGTGGTGGCACTAGCCTTTAATCCCAGCACTCTGGAGGCAGAGGCACGGGGATCTCTGTGAGTTCGAGACCAGCTTGGTCTACAAGAGCTGGTTCTGGGACAGCCTCCAAAACCACAGAGAAACCCTGTCTTGGAAAAAAAAAACCCAACCAACCAACCAAACAACAACAGAAAATGTGGTTTGGTGGGTTGTAGTATATTTTTCCTGGCTGTGCAACCCTCACCTGCCTAATTCGGGAATGCTTCCTCACCCCAATACATATTTGTTAGTGGTCACTCCCATTCTGCTCTCCTCCTGTTCACTTCCAACCACTGATGTATTTTCTACCCCTCTGGTTTTGCCCATGCTGCACATTACATATAATCAGATAATACAATGTGTGGCCTTGGTGAATTGAGGCGTGCTGCATGATGGGTGCCTCCTTCCCTTGCTTAGCTGGTATCCCTTGCTTGGCTCTATCACAGTATGACTTACGGTCAGTGGATGGCCACTTGGGCTGTTTCCACGCTCAGGCTAGTCCCAGTGCTGCAGCTGTAGACACCTTCTACCTTGGGCGTGTTTCTGTACAGTAACAGTTGTTCTGAAATCAGTGGCAAGCCCGGTGTTGCCCTCTCCTTTTCTGTCTCTCTTAGAGGCCACTGTAGAAGCAGACTCCGACCCTGCATGGTCTGGCTAAATCTAGGCGCCGCCCGCTGGGGCCCAGCTCCCGGTGGGTGCTTTCCCATTAGTCACTCTGTGATGTTTATGACATTAATGACTTACTGTGTACGCTGGTCATAAGCATTTAGACGGAGGTAGATAAGATACTTTACTTGCAAAGATGGAGTTTCCCTATGGTGAATCAAGTGTTTCCTTTTGGGAAATATGATGTCTCCAGGCCCCAAAGCATATCCAAGATCCCCTGAAAATCTTCAGGTTTTTTTTAATTTAATAACTTTTTTCACACAATCTATTTTGATCATATTCTTTTGCCCCCCCCAAATTCTTGTGTTCTCTAGAACCACTCATCATATAACAATCTGAAGAACAGAATTGGTAGAATGAATCTCTACATATATATTTGTGATGGCTATTCTTAGTTGTCAACTTGACTATATCTGCAATGAACTATAATATGAAATAGAGATCACACTTGTGATTAGGATCTTGAGGCAAGAAGACAACATGCCTTTGATCCAGCTCTTGAGCCTGAATGATACACAACTTGAAACCAGACATTGAGGCTGGAAGGCACACTTAATCTTTTCTGCTGGAAGCCTATGTAAGGACAAGGGAAGAAGGAAGGGGGTGTGCTCTTTCTTTGCCTGCTTGCCTTGCCTTGTGAGCACATCCATTCCCGCACTGGTGTTGGTGTCTACTTTGGGATTCCAGCATCTACAGAGGACCAGCTGAGACACCCAACCTCATGGGACTGAGACAACTCTAAATTCTAGGACTTTCTCTTCACAGCTACTCATTGTTGAACTCAGCCCTATTTTCACCCTTTACTCTTTTGGGGGACCCAGCATCCAGTTCGTAACTAAGTACACAGAGAGGCTTATTCTTTGTTATGAATGCCTGGTGTTAGCTTGGCTTATTTCTAGCTAGATTTTCTTAAATTTTCTCATCTACCTTTTGCCTCTGGGCTTTTACCTTTCTCTATTTCTGTGTATCTTTCTTTCCTTCTTATTCTGTGTCTGGCTGTGTGGCTGATCCCTGATAGTCTCTCTTTCTCCTTTTGTTCCCCTATGATTTCTCCTCCTATTTATTCTTTCTGCCTGCCAGCCCTGCCTATCCTTTCTCCTGCCTAGCTATTGGCTGTTCAGCTCTTTATTAGACCAATTGGGTGTTTTAGACAGGCAAAATAACATAGCTTCACAGAGTTAAACAAATGCAACATAAAAGAATGTAACACATCTTTGCATCATTAAACAAATGTCCCATAGCATAAAGAAATGTAACACATCTTCAACTAATATTCCATAACAGTCCTCCAAATCTTTGTTTTAAACAGAGACAAACAAACAAACAAAAAGTTAATGCAGTCAAAAGAACAGTCCAGATCACTGTCTCCACACCCACACCTTCCCAGCTAGATAGACCCTAGCTCCACAGCTGGACCCTCCTTCCAACTTCAGAGGACTTCCACCGAGAAGGCCCAGGTCATACCAACCAGAATGGGTGAGTGACCTGGGTAGCAGCATAACTGTACTCCTCCCTGGATTCTGTCCACTGAGACCCTTTCACAGGCCAATGCCATTCCAGCTCATCCCCAGCCCTGCTGCTGCTGGGCCCTCACCCCCAATCCCAGCAGGCTTCTGCCACTGAGGCACAGAACACAGCAGTCAGAACTGGCCCAGGCTACAAGCCAGAACAGAATTCCAGGAGAATCCATAGGCCCAGACACTGTCCACACCAGTTGGAAGAACAGGCACTGTAGGCCCACAGAAGTTCACACCATTCAAAAGAACATCCCCAGCAGCTCTACTGGAGGCCATGCTGGTTCTGGGTGTCTGAAAAGAAAACTCAAACTTTATTGGAGGCCATGCTGGATCTAGAGACCCAAGAAGACTTTGGCTTTACTAGAGGCCAGACTGGAGCAAGGGACTCAAGGCCTCTAAAATCCTAGGGGAGATACTATGCTGGACCTGAAGATGCACCAGTCACCAGAACCCTTGTCACTTAGGCCAGAAGACGAGAGAGGAAACAGAAACCAAGAAACAAAACACCCATCCCTCAAAGACAACATAGAAATCAACACCTAGACCTATAATCAACCCAAATCCAGTGCCTAGATGCCAGTGTGAGAACACGTCAATAATAGAAAAGGCAATATGGCATGACCAGAGCCCAGCTATTCTACAACAGGAAAACCTGAACAACCCAACACAACTGAAATGCAAGAGAGTGACCTTAAAAATGACTTTATGAAGATGATAGAGGTCCTTAAAGAAGAAATGAAAAAAATCCCTTAAAGACATGAAGGAAAACACAACAAAAAATGGAAGAAATCAATAAATCTCTTTTTAAAAAATTTTTTTTTGGTTTTTCAAGACAGGGTTTCTCTGTATTGTTTTGTAGCCTGTCCTGGAACTCCCTCTGTAGACCAGACTGGCCTTGAACTCACAGAGATCTGCCTGCCTCTGCCTCCCTAGTGCAAGGCGTGCACCACCAACACCTGGGTCAATAAATCTCTTAAATGCTAATAAAACCAAGAAAAAAACCAAAACAGCTGACAGAAATAAATAAGCAGTCCAGATCGAACACAAGGAAAGAATTTGAACAGTA